AGTCTCTTTAATAAAGAAAGATAAGATACATGAACGTTTGTGTGATAAAGTTTTAACCACTTTTAACTATATGCATTATGGTTTTTTGGAGGTGAACCTTACAAATAATGGGTTCTTAAGAACCATTACCATTCAAAATAGTTTTTTTTCTGCATGCATTTTCGGAGAGAGAACTAAAGACTGGAACGCGCAAAAATTGGTCGACAAAAAAATCATTTCTTTCAGTCAAAATTCATATCACAAAAATCCTCTTATTTTTCTTTTGGTAGATCAATTCATATATTTAATGGAATTTTTTTTCGTTTATTCTTTTGTTTTGCCAAATCCGAACTGCCGTGCCTTCCGTGGTCTCATCGACCTTATTCACCGCCGTACGCCAGTTAGATTTAAACTGCTGCTCGTTTTCCATGGATTTAATAGTTTTTTTTTTGAGATTCCGTTTGACAAAGGCCCAATACCGTTCGATAGGGCGGAGTTCTTTGCTGTTGGGAGGGTTGTGGTCTTTGGGTACCACAACCACGTTGTTCGCATCGTACCACTCGATTGTTTTTTTTTTCCCATAGTGGCAGCTCGCCAAGTCCGGCCAAAACAGCACAGGTCTATTATGTTGTTTTAGGAATGGTAGCAGCCGCTATTCCAGGCACTCCTGGACGTAGATCTCTTGATTGAAGGTTCCCGTAGTAATGAAAATGCCGCTTTTTAGACCACACGTGCATATGGCCTGCCAGACGAGATATTTTTCGGGAACTTCGATAGTTTGATGGTTTTGAAAATTTCAGCCACCTTCCCTTTTCCTGAAGCGGTATAAAACTTTTTGACACGCTGCTCCTCTTGCTTGGACGTTATTTTGAAAACTGAAGAGCAAACGGTGAAAACTCATCATAGCAATCATTGTATATACACTCAACTTCCAAATGCAGCATTCCAGGTTTTTTATGCATTTTTAACAGAAATACACCAATTTGAAGTTGACCAATTTTTGCGCGTTCCAGACTTTACATTAGAACCTTTTTACTTATGGTTTGAGAATTTTAATGGTAATGGTTATTGTAGTCAGTAAGGTCCATGGATGGTTTTGTAACATCGATCAACTTTATGTAGAATATATCGCGAATAAGTTGCCTGTAAATTAATGACCACCAATTCGCGATATATTCCCCGCTTAATAGCCCAAAAATTAACTCTAAACCCTATTAGCATTGTGCCAGCTGACAGGCATAACGAATGTTTCCAATTAGTTCAAGGAACTTCCCTATTTTTTTTATTCCAAATTGTCGAATTCTCAGAAATATTACTGCTTAGCCATTTTTAACCAAATTTGGAAGTGAACAAATGTTTCAAATGGCATTGATGTTAAAATGTTGTGATTTTAATCGAATTAGACTCATTTCAATTTGCTCATGTTCTAAGATCTCACAAATTAAAACTAAAAAAAATATGATGATGAGACGTCACGGTTGATGCATGTGTTCATGATTATCGATGTCAGCGGATCCTCGTGGATACGTTACATAATTGAAGAAAAGTAAACTGTGCGATGTTTATCTTTATATTGACCGTGCATATTCATTGTTCAATTTGTAAAAACAAAATACTAATCGGCGCAAAAAAATGCCACGCCGATTCACGCCGCCGCCGCCGCCTAAAAGTGCTATTGGTGTAACGCTGATGATGCCACCACCGCCGATGATGCCGCCACCGCCGAGCATAATTAACCCCACATGCCGCCGCCGACCATTTTTGAATCGGCGCACACCTCTAAACGAGAGTCCTCCTATCCGATAGAATTGGTGGTTTACATGGATTGACTTTAAACTACACCCAACCGGGGGATGTAAGATTCTCTTACAATTATGTGGGATTCATCATCAGAGGATGTTAGTGGAGACCGCATGAACCGAGGATGCGATATACCGTGCCGATTCAAATTTCGGACACTTAAACTCGAATTTCGGACACTTTTAAAAGTTGATTATCTCAGGCGAATATGATCCACATGTCTTGTAAATTTTAAATTTTTTTGACTAGTGCCCTCCACGATCATCTAACATTATTACTTTGTTTCTAACTGGATGTAATATTTAATTAAAAATGAAAGTGACCGAAATTTGAATCGTCCGAAATTTGAATCGGAACGGTACCTAGCAGCGGTCCAATGCAAGAAAATTGGAGACCGAAAAATGTAGAGTGTATTTATTAGTGAGTGAAATTAATTATGTCGAAAAAAAAGAAAACAGATTGCCGCGATTGGACTCGAACCACGAACGTTGCGATTATCAGACTTGTGCTTTCTCCACTGCTCTCTCCATGCTTCTGAATATGGATAGCTTAAAAGCATGTTTTTGTGCTGGAGAGATTCGAGACAAGTGTGTGCGTCGTTCTACAATGTTCTACAATGTGCGTCGTTCTACAAGCTTACTGATATAGTCGAAAGCGTAGATGGAACACGAAATAAAAAAAAGACAAAAAACCATTACATCGCCTGCATGATCAATTTCTAACATTCGTTGTGATGTTCATGAACAGAGGATGATTGGAAACGGAACTAACATTCATTGTAATAGATTTTTGGTTTGCGTGTATGTAAAATTTACGAAAGAAGCCAATGTTTACGGTAAATTGTTCCTTATGTCCTTAGTGTCGATATCACAAAAGTTTTATTTTGACAGATTGATGTCCAACTATACCACCTATACTACTGAGGCAACACAAAAAACGAGGGGTGCGACACATCTAAAATGGCATGAAGATAGCACACAAGATGAAACTGCTTTTTCGGACAAGGGTACTTTTTCTAGATTTTGCACCCTCCGTTCGCTGCATCTACTTTTTCGATGATGCAAAAGATACAGAAGATTATAGAAGATTTTGCGGTAGATGACAAAACAGCGGTACGAAATCGAGTTAAATACAGTTGGAAATGAGTGCGCGGTGAAACATGTTAGATTCTAAAAATTATGATGGACGGTTACAGTGTTGTGCTATGTCGGCTATTTCGTTGCATTAAGTGATTGCGAATGAGAATAGTGATAGTGTTTTTAAGAATATTTAACTGAATCATATATCACTTCCAATTATTCTAGCAGAATCAAGACTTCCATAAGACGGCAATTATTTTCGGGATTAGTACTGCTTGATCGTTTTTTACGGATATTCGATCCAACGGAAACAGAACGGTAAGTTGCTGCTAGCCTATGCTGTGTTTAGTTCTGACAATTGTGTATCTAGCTTTTTAGAAACCGGACGTCATTAAAAAACACATCAATACATTATTTGCCCTCATACGCGGTGCAACAGGAGATGGAAGTGATTTTGCAGAACTATAACCCACTGAACCTTCCCGATATGATTACCCTCATCTACCCGTTCTTCAAGGATCTGGACCTAGGTGGTGAACAGTTTGGTGCTATCATAATAATGGAGCAATATTGCCATCCAAAACAGCATTGTCACCCAGATCGCAATCAACCTGTAGCAGTCGGTAATAATATGGCCCCATCTAGAACTATATAAAAAGGATCAAGGAATTTTGTTTTTTTTTTTGCTGGCTAATGAGAGTTTGAATTAAAATCTCTTTGTTGATTCTGAAGTGCGTCATTTTTTTCAAACCATTTTTAAATCAATTAAATATTGACCTTATAATTATAAAGCCAAAATACTCCATGCTATTATTAATCTACCATATATTTTTATTACAATTGAGTTTTAATTCATCCGTTACATCTTGATCTTTCCAATATAAAGTTAATATTAATCGAAAAATAATAATAATATGTGACGGGTCTCACTTGCTACACGATCTAACTGCATAATATGGAACTAGATGTGAAATAGCATTTAACCTGGTTTTCGAAACAACTCAATGCATCTAGTTTATCTTGAGCTCATAAAGTATAATTAAAAATAAGGGGACGTCCATAGCGTAGTGATTAACATGCATGCCTCTCTCGCCAAAATAACGAGTTCAAATCTCCTCCGGGACAAGTCTTAACAATATTATGATGTACTAAAACATGTATTATTTAATCAGCAAACGTTTTTGCGCAACAACAAATTTATCGCATTTGGTATTCTTTTTTAGTTCAGTTATTACCAACCAACTGTTACTTTTAGGGTTGCAGCGATCAGATCCCGGTATCACTTGCATTGTGAGAATCCAATAATGTATCTTAATGTCCTGTCGGTTGCATCGAAATGTTTATAAGTCGTCGAAATTGTAATTGGACTGTAGTCCAAATTTGCATTGCTGTTTTTTTAGGCAGCTGACTTTTCTTAATTAAAACGTTTACTATACGTTTCTTTCGTTTCTTTCAGTAGCAATAATCCCCCTTCTTCTGCGCCGCGAGCGAGGTTAGGTGACAAAAGTCAGCTTGAAATTCCACCAATAAGGTCAGCTTGAACTCGTGAACTGTAGACTGCGGTATCTATGCGTCAACGGATTCCGACTCGTCTGGAATGTCTTGAAGTACAGACATGCACATTTTCAACTGCGTATTCTTGGACACAATTTCTCGAACAAAAACAATCATGTTACTTCTCTTTCATCGGATGATCCTACCGAAGTTCAAGCATGACCTGAAGAGAAGATGTTACCATGAACGCTGAGGTTGTCAAGATCTAAAATGATGTTAAGTTCATTTGAATTTGATGATATTTTTCATTAAAACACATTACATTCAACTTACAGTTTTGCATTGAGTATTAGTCATTTCCGCCATCAATAACACGGTGTAACTTACACCTTCACGTTCTCGATAATCAAAGCGCGTGACAGTGCACTTGGTTCACGGTTTGACCAGTTATTCTGGAAGCTAACCGTAGAGAAGCTGTTTTTGTTTGAAACTAAAACAACATATTACCGTAGGTATTGGAACGATGCTACAAATTCAAAAGCAAGCTTCGACGAGTAGAAACCGTTTCCCTCGGACTGGCAAAACCTACATAAGTTGTATTTTTCTCGATGCTGTCTTAGCTGTTCGTTCCTTTCTAAAGAATATCGTTCAGGTTGTGTGGAAGTACGCCATATTCTGATTTAATTTCACTAGTTCGTCGATGTCCAGTTCGACAATATCCACCTGCAAATCCTTCTGATTGTCAGGAACAGAATTGACGGCCAAGGTAGAATTGTAGCTGTCCCCTTTCTTGTTGTAGAAACCGATCAGAGCCAAGGCTTTCACGAAGCATTGGTCCCCGGTAACCCGCGCTCGAAGCAGGACATCTTAGTGAACCCGTCAATTCGACATATGCCAAGAAGGTAAGATTACCACTTTCACTGTTATTGCAAATTTATTTGTTAAAATCAAGACTCTTGAAAGTAATCCATCATACTTATTATCTGCAATTCTTGCTTTTTGATTAGGATATCTTCCGGTGACACAAACTAACTACATCCGATCTACAACTCGCAGCAAAATGTAAACAAAAATACTGGTTTGCTGTCTCACTCGCTGCTTTCGTTCGTTCGGTGATTGCTTCGATCACGAGAAGATGCGAGTAGATGCGAGTGATGAAAGTAGATTACACAGATAAAAAAACAGATGATGTGCGGTAAATAGATAAATAAAATATGAGAGAAATATGTGATGGAAAGAAGATAATCTAGATGTGTCGCACCCCTCGACAAAAAAGGGGTCAGATTTTAGTCAGCTCTTTGAATCACGTTCCACATATGTTATGTGAACGTCGGCTAGCTGAGCCTAATGGGGTGCTTAGGGGCTGTTCATTAACTACGTAGACAGTTTTTTTTAGGGATTCTTGACCGTGAATAATTAACACTCCCCCCTCCCACACACACACACTGAACTGTCTACGTAGTTTATAAACAATGGTGTTTTTTTGCTAGCAGCTAGGTCATTAGCGCTAATGAAATAATAGCATAAGTGTAAACACCCCATAAGATAGGTGCGTGCGCACATACCCCACCTGAAATAGTACCCTAGGGACAAAGGCTTGCGGCGAGTAGCGTAAAAATCCCACACACTGGACTTGCATTAGCAAATCCTCATTGCTTTTAAGCAATTACTAGAGTAACGCTCGAGTAGCCCTATGGCTTTTTGAATGTTTCCTTTTACAAAAAAAAACATACGCTTTCCTATCTTGAAGAGTTCATCATAGCACTGAGTAACTTAACTTTTTTCGAAACTTACTAAAATTTGTATGGAAAAAAAGAAAGTGAGTCACCTTTACTCAGTCTCTTTGTTACTTTCGACGGGTGCGTATATGACCTCAGATTGAAAGTCGGTAAACAGTATGTAAACCCTTCTTAAATTTTACTTGGAAATGTCTATTTCTTGATCTTTACTGCAATTTATTGCTACACGCAAACCAAAAATCTATTACAATGAATGTTAGTTCCGTTTCCTATCATCCTCTGTTCATGAACATCGCAACGCTTTCGACTATACCAGTATGCTTGTAGAAAAACGCACACACTTGCCTCGAATCTCTCCAGCAGAAAAAGCATACGAAGTCGAGCATGCGAGAAAATGAGCGCTTCATGTTTGCTTTTAGGCTATCCATATTCAGAAGCATGGAGAGAGCAGTGGAGAAAGCACAGGTCTGATAATCGCAACGTTCGTGGTTCGAGTCCAATCGCGGCAATCTGTTTTCTTTTTTTTTCGACATAACTAATTTCACTCACTAATACACTTTACATTTTTCGGTCTCAAATTTTCTTGCATTGGACCGCTGCTAGGTATATCGCATCCTCGGTTCATGCGGTCTCCACTAACATCCTCTGATGATGAATCACACATAATTGTAAGCGAATCTTACATCCCCGGTTGGGTGTACTTGGGATAATACTTCAATGATAAATTTTACATACGCCTACTAAACACTATTCCATCAAGATTAAATGATTATGTCCAGAATCCGAGCATTATTATGGATATAATAAAATTGTACTATATTCAAGTTCCACTGTACACTGTTCCCACAGAGCTCTATTGTTGCAGCAATGCTCCATCATCCCAGGATCATAACACTATGCAAGGTTCACACCATTTTTTTTTTTTTGCACTGTGGGTTGGAGAAACTTGCAACCCCCTTTTTCATTGCATTCGAAGCATTAAACCCATCAAAACGGTCAGCGATGCACACGCTCTCTCCACATTTTAATATGAGCGTATCCCTCCAATTTCATGGGACAATCCCATCCCAACCCAAACAATCACAATTTCACACAAAAACATAAATGCTGTTCGTATATATACGCACGCACATAGTCCCAGGCTCACATGCAATAATTTCCAGTATAATTTTGTTTCAAAACGAAAATTTTAATAAAACACCTCTCACCCCCGTCCGATCCGCACTTCTCAGTGATTCCGTATGATGTGCAGTGGGTACCAACCGGCAAACCGTAATTCGCTGCATTCGGATTGAACGACTATTTAAAATTATTTGTTAATTCATTTCATTTTCGCAGCAATGAATATTTAATCAATCACATTGTGACCCATCAGCTTCCAACGAATGACGACGTTAAAATAAAACTCAAACCCGTCACCTCCACCCCTAGCCTTACCCTCCTGTTGAATCACTCTTGAATTATTGGTATCTCTTCTTCTGAATGATCCTTGAAAACTATCGGCCACAATAGGCAGGTAGGGATTGTTTGGATTTTGGAGTAGGTATGACAATGCTTCAAGGCGACGGGGATGGCCACCAGGCGGATATGTCTTTAATCAAGAGAGCACTAATTAATTAATTGTGCCAATTGATCGACTTCCGCAGGACGCGGGGATGAGAGATGGACCAATCAATCCTGTTATTACTGTCACATGCAGCTGCATATCGATAGAGACACTTGAAACCGTAATTAAACATGATTGATTTAAACCGATAACGTCAAGTGCGACAGAGAAGTGTAGTCGTCATTGATCGGGGGGAAAAAAGGCACTCAGTTGCGGTTTGAATGTGGGAATTTATATTTAATTTCAATGTTTCCTCCATGGTTTTTTGTTGGTAGGCATAGGTTTCGAAGTGAGACGATTTAAAAATGGCATTTATAAATCTAGCAAGTTCGTTTAAATTAAATACTGTGTTGCAAACTGTAGGACACCCTTCACCTTGAATAGTGGATAGGACACAAAGCTAAAAAAATAGTTTCAGACTCGACCTTTTCCAATTTTCATGATGCTTTGCTAAAAGCAATCATTCAATTTAGGGGCGATTAATTAAGTACTTCACACACAATATAAGAACATGTATTCACCCCCTCTCTCCTTTCAAACTATACAGAACAACTTCGTCGAAGACCGCAAATCGAATCGACTTCTGTGCAAAAAGTTATTATATTTTTACTGTCGCCCTGATGCTCGGCGCATACCTATAAGCTTATATGCACCCCAGTAGGCATGCGCGGAACACATGGTCATAAATAAAAATATTTAACTTTTTCGTGCCAAAGTCAAATCGATGTGGGGTCTTCAACGAAGTTGTTCTGTATAGTAACCCAAGTAACAATTCAAGCTGAACAATAAGAACAGAAGCTGATTTATTGGTTGATTTATGGTGTACAAAACTGATTAACACCAAGCTGAATATATTTAGTTGATTAGTATCTCAGGTAACAGTTTGATGCTTAACAAGTGTTGTTTAATCGATTTTAATTCAGCCTTAGTTTGAATAATTGTTGTACATAGACCACGTTAACCTTTGTTCAGCTTTAAACATCTAAGTCTGGTGATTTTAATCAGTCGAAGGTTTAACAGTTATAGAAATTATAAGCTTTTTAAGGCATTAAATAACATTCAGAGTGTTTTTTATGTTACTTCATACGCGAAGTTAACGATTTTCAGAGTTGGTTGGAAATGCTAACATGAAGCTTTAGTGTGATGATTTATTAGCTAGAGAATGATCTTTAGAAGAGGGTAGGTGGATAGTTCCGTTAGAGTACGGCAGTATGAAAATTGAATAGAAGTTGAAAATGAGCGAAGGGCCATTAAAGCGACAGTTTTTCAAGATAAACGCACATTTTTGCCTAGCCCGTACGATGTACGCGGGGACTTGAAGTATGTCTCAAGTCCCCGCGTACATCGTACGGGCTAGGCAAAAATGAAGGCTAGGCTAGGCGTATGAAGTAACATAAAAAACACTTTGAATGTAACAACTCAAGGCGGGAGTAGCCGTCAACAATGCTGATGATGGTACAGCACGCAACAACCACCCTACTGCTTTCTCTCTGAGATGATCACGTTGGTCATGACGAGAGGAGCAACACAATAGTTGGGTAAAGAAGAACTGCATTATAACACACCATCGACTGGAAATGCTCTCGCAACGTGGGGCTTTAGGTAGTGATGAAAACGTCGCTAGAACTATTCCACAGCCGCAGTCAGTTTATGAGCAACAAGAGGGACGCACATTTTTGCCTGTGGACTTGGAGACATACTTCAAGTCCCCGCGTACATCGTACGGGCTAGGCAAAAATGTGCGTCTATCTTGTAAACTGTCGCTTTAATGGCCCTTCGCTCATTTTCAACTTCTATTCAATTTTCATACTGCCGTACTCTAACGGAACTATCCACCTACCCTCTTCTAAAGATCATTCTCTAGCTAATAAATCATCACACTAAAGCTTCATGTTAGCATTTCCATTAAATAACAGTCTTTTCCAACCCTTGTCCAGCCTTCTAGATTTATTTAGAAAAAACAATAATGGAAAACTGCTTCATATCTTATATATTTTTATGGGACTACAACAAGGTGCTGACTATTTGGATTTACATATTTATATTGTTATTATTAGTCTAAAAATTACCTTTCGAGATTCGAACCGACAGTCGCTGATTCATAGGCATCAATGTACGATCATTAAGTTGAATAACGTCAAATTTAAGTTGAAGAACGGCAACTGGAAGAGTTTTATACAGCAATGCAGAATTGTAAACAACAACTGGTGACAGTAAAACATTCCTCTCATTTTCACGTGTAGTTAACACAATGTGGACCCAAGTGTGCGATTTATTTCGATGGTCATGTGGAAGCTATTTTAGTGCCATAATTGAGTTATATTTTTGGAATGCTGTAAGTGCATCATAGCAGTCAAAACACAGAAATACATATGTTAATACGTCGGAAACGTCGTCACAACCCACTTCTACCTGTAGCTATACCTAAAAAGCTCCTCTACTTT